TTTAGCGGGCCTGAAATAAAGCATTGTGATTGGTTTATTCTTCCGCATCCGCTTCCGACTCCGACAATGCAGTTTTCACTAGATCGTAAGCGACGGAGTCATTTGACATTTTTGGTGTGAGATTGTGTTGGCATATATTGCAACATCCAGTAATGTCTTATGTTGACAGTCACTCTGACATACAATTATTGTGATGTCAATAGATCCCAGCAAGAGTAACAAACAGTCTCCTAGAGGGGGACAACCTTACCAAGTAAGTATTTTTCTTTTATTTTAACATTTCTCCTATCTTATTTCTCTTACAAAGCCTTTAGTTAATACAAAGTTTTCAGAGTAGCTTTTAATAATTTTGGATAATTCCAACCATGACTTAGAGTTAAATATAGACTGTTTGTAGTTACCCCTTTGTCATTGGTATTGAAAAGTATTATTTTTAAGCTAGGAGAGCAAACCAGAAAACTGCTATCATTTACTGAGAGATTGATGTCAATAAGGCACTAATGTGAAGAATGAAATTTCTCCTTACACAGTTGTCTTCCGATACTGTAATAAATGCCACAGTTGTTAAAGTTGAACGAAGCTTCCTCTGACTTATTATAATTTATATTGCATCATCTGGTTTCTTTCTTTGTAGTTGGCAAGACGTCCAGCAAGTCGTGACTCCCTTTTGGAATCAGAGAGTCAATTCCTTGCTGTTGATGATCCAAAGCAACTGCTACCAATAGAACAAATGGTTTCCTCTAGGCCAAGGCAATCATCTGCCAGAGAAAGACGGAGATGGAAGCAACTTGAAGAAATGGCAAGGAACCCCAGAGTAAGATAGCTTTAACCTTTTCAAGTTTTCCCAAGTGCCAAACACAGGTTTCTCCAGTGACAGTTTGTGAGAGAGATGACTGTATGCGAGGGACACTTTGTTTTCATGTCATAAATTGTTAGAACGAAGTGAACATCTCTTCCTTAAGACAAGTGTTTTTTGGATTTCACACACTGATGTAACAAACTCTTCTCAGCAGATCAATATTAGGCAAAAGAGAAAATAATTTTATGTGGAAATTTACAAATGCATAGTCACAAGACTCCCTGCTGTTTTTTAGCTAAGTATGCACTAAAATGTGCTGTGTGTTTTGAAGTAGGCAGATGTTGCTTGAAAGTTGTGTTTTGGGTGTCTCAGTTAATAGTTATTGTTTCTTAGTTACACCTCAAATTTATGATGAAGTTTAATTGCCAAAACGCTGGATAGTACTTAGAACATTAGCGGAGATCTCTAGATTCCAACTCTTCATTTCCCTTTCTGAAAGTAGTTGAGGCAAACGTTAACTTTAATTGAAAACAATTTGTAGTAGACTAGCTATGTGACAAACTATGGCATTTGATGTTTATTTTCAGCCTCATGAAACTTACAAGCCTCCCACTCCAGGTGGTTTCTCTTTAAATTCTGTCACAAGTTTTAATGTGGATGAAGTAGCAAATAAGAATGAGGAGAGGCTGAAAAAACTTGAACTCATTCAGCAAGGACATGGAAGCAGGAACAGCTTGCAAGGTGATCCTGATCAGGTTCTACAACGATTCATGGATGGTAGAAGGTAATCCACTGTCTGCCTCGTATATACTGTGCATCTGATTAAGAGAATGAATCCTTGATTTTAACCAGAAGCATAATGCAAAGTTCTTTTGCAGACTTGCATATTTTAAATCTGGAGTGACCCAGAAAACAATTTTCTTTAAAGTATCAATACTAAATCAAGCAGGCAAGTGATGAGAATAAAGAAAAATATCAATTAGGGGATTTATTAGTTGATACAATGCCAAATTCTCTAAACTAACATGATAAGAATTGTATGGCAGACACTAAGGAGAGTTACTAATAACATTTTAGGAGCAAAAGGGTTAAAAGATGTTTGACGAGCATTTGTTTTAAGGCATGTTGTTTAAGTAATATCCCTAATTTGTTTTTTGCCTTTTTTTTCTCCTATCATGCAGTCGTCCTACCGCCCTTGCCAGCAGACTGTCAGAAGCCTCACTTGAAGCAGAAACATCTTTTGAACCAATATGAGACCTGTATGGTCTACTGGGCTAGCTGGGTGTCAAAGATCTAATCTCAACTTTATTCCTCTGCAAAGTTTAGATGTTTTTACATGAGATAGCTGGTCAGCTTCCCTTGCTAATATGACAATTTCCCCGTGCAAACCCTCTTAACCTGAGCTGAAATTGTTCGGGTGACATGAGATGAAGTTGGTCCCATAAACCACGGGGCAACATCCATTCCAGGCAGATATTGGTGCTGATAGGGTGACTACCCTCTAGTGGCTTAAAGGCCGGTGTTGCATTCCTTTTTTAAGGTTCAGGCCCCGGTTGTTCGAAGGATGGATAATGCTATACACTGGATAAATCCCTATCCAGTGGATAGCGCAGTTACGTTTTGGTAACAGTAATCCGCTGGATAGTGATTTATCCATTGGATAGCATTATCCACCGCTTGAACAACCGCAGCCTGATTTTTTTTAGAACAAGAATTATATTCATTAAACAAAAAGATATGAGGTCATTGTTACTCTTTCCTGCACTCTCAACAAATCATTGACAACATTCATGCGGTTGTAGAATATACAGTGAATAAACCTACAAAGAAGGTTTTTATGTAATATTATTATAAAGGTATTACAAGGTAATATATTGATTGTGTAATTTATAAAATGTTATCTTCTCCTGGATCTTGTATCACATTTTTGCTACTTTTATACACACTTCCCTTTCACTGAAATGCACATCCATGTATTTAAACAATAGAGTGTTTCTGTCGAGAAACTATCAGCTGATAGTTGCCCCGCGGAAATTTGATGTTCTTAAAACAAATATTTGCCCGAGGAGCAAAGCTTCTCGGGCAAATATGCTAGTTTTAAGGACGTCAAATTTCCAAGGGGCAACTATCAGACCAATAGCTCCGAGACATAAACACTCTATTGTTTTTATTGTTCACCACTAAATTTTCTTCCGCACCAGTCCTATAGCTTGTCACAAATGTCAATAATTCACAACGGTACATTGGCTAAATAATATGTTATACCTGTCAGAATTGAAAAGTCACTGTTTTTCTGATCTGCCTAACTTCACGGCCGTCAAACTATTCAAAACTTTTCACAGATGGGTACTATCAATCCAGGTATTTTCTGCGGATGGGCACTATCCATCCGGGTATTTTCCGTGGGCGGGTACTATGGGCTGGTAGTGTCTTTCCACAATGAACACTATCGCGTCACGTGATCAATTTAAACCAATAAGAACTGGAGAAAATTTAGTGGCAAACTATAATGAATGATAGTGATATATCAGTATATAGAACTGCATGGTGTGGTGATATTGTGAAGTGAATGTAGTAATATGTCAATGTGTCACAGGCACTCACAAATATTTATTTACTTGTAGATGTTAGAGAGCTAGGCCAGTTGTTCAAAACACAATGAAGTTTATTATAATTGTTTTAATACAAATGCATACCAGGTGCTCCTTTGCTTTCATAGTCAGGGTCAGTTCAAATGTTGGTTGAGACTCTAGAGTGCATGCAGGTCTTTCATATTAAGGCTTTGAGAACCATTTGAAAGGCATGTGTAAACACTGAGTTGGGAAGGTTGACATTTTTCACATGCTTTTCAAATACTTTTTAAATCCCTCCACATGCATATGAATTTACATGTGAAATGAGTGTGAAAATCATTTGAACACTGTGCCTTAATTTTATCATTACAAGCACCTTGTAGATATGTGTCAAGTTGATTCAGTTGTGTAAATTTGAAGACAGTATTATGCTCTTGTATTTATGTTTTGCATCACAAAAATATAAACCCCCACTAAAAGTTAGCCCTTACATACGTACACTAGTCTTGTAAATAAACCCCCAGTATGCATTTTTCTACCTGAAGAATGAAAATCTAGTTTGAATTTTGGCCTTTTTGTCAACTGGCTTTTAATAAACCAGCCTTAGGAACTAATTAAGATGACAATTTTTGGGTTAAGACCAAGTGGTTATTTATTATTAGTGACAGAATAAACTAAGGTAACAATGTTATAAAGTGCTTGCTTTGGTCTGCATGTGCAGCTTTTTGTTGGTACTTAAGTGAGTTAGGTGTTAGGTGGTGTTTATTTGTATATATGTGAGTCAATGTTAGTTTGAAGTCTTCCATGAAGTTTGCCTGATTTCTGTCTAGTGTGAGGTAGTTGAAAATAAAATATACAAAACAATGAATTGCAGTTCATATAGTATTTTGTTAAGTTTGAAGTCTTCCATGAAGTTTGCCTGATTTCTGTCTAGTGTGAGGTAGTTGAAAATAAAATATACAAAACAATGAATTGCAGTTCATATAGTATTTTGTTAAGTTTGAAGTCTTCCATGAAGTTTGCCTTATTTTTGTTTAGTTTAAAAACTAGCTTTTTCTAGTCAGCTTTTACATCATAAAGAAATCATGAAAACAAATTTACCCAGTCCAAAGCATGAGAATGATGATTTGAATGATGTATTTCTTACATTGTTGTTTGCAGGAAAATCATATGAAGTTTCTTTTCTGTGACTTTCTGGGTCTGAGAAATGACAATTTAGAATTCCATGACTTTCCTGTCAATAATTTATGTGCAATCTTAAGTGACTTGTTGTCCTCTGGTCTCTCGTTTTTATTTTCCATTCGTGACCCACAGGTTGAAATATTCTTAAAATTCTGCCCAACTAGAGTACAAGAATATATGTAGTATGGGAAAGGAAAACTACTATTGAGGGTGTAAGGGAAGAACACAGCAAATGAGTAAATAATTTCAGAATTTAACAATTTATTTCAATTGTTCAGTAATTGTGTTAGACTGATTCTCAGGTGATCAGACAGTTCAAACTCAAGGGAAATCAGCAAGCTTTTATGAGATGTTGCATAATTATTAGGTTATATGTAATATGACTATACAAAGCATCTCTTGTGCTTTCTAATATACAAAGCATCTCTTGTGCTTTCTAATATACAAAGCATCTCTTGTGCTTTCTAATATACATTCCCAGTAAGAATTACTGTACACTTTTTACAGTTATTTAAAGGAACTGGGACATTTCCATATTCAATACATATTATGATTTATTTAGGATAATAATTTTCCAATAGTAAAACAGTAAAATTTAGATGCTTTCTGAAGTTTCTTCAAACACTAAAAGAACACAAACAGTCCAGGTATTGGCAAGTGAGCTATATCTGATTCATAATGAACCCTGATTGTGTTCAATTTGACATAGAGGCTCAAAGTGCCATTCCTTAAATGTGAAAACTGCAAAAATCTAAAAGTAAAACTGAAGCTATTTACAGAGCCTTTATAAGTTGCACTGTTAGAATTATTAGGGACTATGATCATATGAAAATTAATTCAAAGAATATTTGTTGAATGGAATATCCAACTGTTGGCTAAAATTGATTATGAGAAAATTTGTCTATCAGCAAACTTCAACCAATGGACTTGGTTTTGTTGTTCTTGTTAAGCCAGTACTTGATCGCCGTTTCTTGTTTGTTGCTTTCAACATGTGCGGTCCAAACTAGTAAGATCAGAATAGATCATGGCTGTGAATTAGTACTGGTAGCTGTTGTTGGGTAATCTTGAAACAGTAAACAGCACTGTCCTATTGAAATGTTTGTGTCAAATGCCTAGTAACCGAGATAGAATGTGATCAAGTATTCTAGAGAAACAGTTAGAACTTAAAAAGGGTAGAGCTGAGGGGAAGTGCCTGACCTTCCTACTCTTAGTTGAGAAATTGATAAATGTCATTTCAACAAACAAGTACACTCTCAAAAGATCACAAAACCTTAAAAGTCCTGCCTGCATGTGCACCCCTGTCATCTGACCAACTCTATAGTAAACATCAAAAAGCAAATTACTTACAGGAACAGATTTGTTGGGACTTGATGGTGGAGTACCAAATGGTGATCCAGGGCTGTTATTTTCTTTGTTGGTGTCTGCAACACAGAGAGTAAAATGCCAGTTCTGTGATAACATTTGACCACAACGAAATTAAACTTGCATTAATCAATAATCAATATTCTTCTACAAGTGGCATGACCAATGCAAATTTTTTGTTCGTACATTCACAGAGGATATGACTTCTTGCTGGGATGCAACCTCCGCACACCCTATCTTAACATGCCTGGCAGGTGTATAATTGGGAGGGGAATATGTGCATATGCAAAGGACGATTCTGATGATGTTATCAATCATACTTTGTACTTGCATAAATTATAGTTTACCTTGTCCCTTGTACACTGGCTAAGTGGGTCACCACCATCTGGCTTAAAACATACAAAGTAGCTAGCTACAATACTGCCCCTACCGCATGGGCCTTTACTATCATGGTTGTAAGTATCCCATGCCCAAATAAGGAGTTTTCTCTGTCTTTATTCACACTTCTTGCATGGTTTTATAGAGTATCATGGCCTATCCTTTAATAAGAGGCAAGTGTCATAGCTCATAGCAACCAATCATGTGTGGGTTACAGGGTGTTGGCAATTAGTATGCAAGTTACCAGGTCCATCAGGAATGTTTCTCTACCTGGAGAGTTTGCTTCAAGTCGTCTTCTATGTGCAAACTTTTTCTTTAGGGCTTGTGCAATGATTGAGGCAGGATCACTTCCTTCAGTAGAAACAGCAGGTTTCCTCAGGGGAGTGCCACCAGGGGACCTGCAAAAATTATTGCAACAGTCCACTCTCTCCACAAACACCATGGTAGGACAGACAACTTCCTAAAATGGACACTGCATGCTGTTCACATGCTTCAGTCATTTTATTAAAACAAAAATGCAGTAGAATCAAATTTTTTAGTTAATTGTTCACCTCTGGACTGTTCTAAGTTTGACTTTTCCCAATCCCTTGAGTACATCTGCCATCTTTGGCAAAGTGCGTCCACTTGACTGTTCAGCTGCCATCATTCCTGGGGCAAGGGATAATCTTTTTGCTCTGTTCTGTTAGATTTTAATTAAACAAAATAAAACTCAGACTCGAGTTGCCTTTTTTAGTGACAGTAACTGAAAAACCAAATGAATTTGCCAACACTGATAACGTTGATAATACCTCTTTTATGATCTGTGAAACTGGCTTCAGGGGGGTCGACATGGGTGTGGGTGGGGGAGGAGGAGGTGGTGGAGGGGGAGGGGGTGCAGGTGCCCCAACTGGTGTTGATAGAGCCCCCTGATTTTGTGGAGCAGGAACCAGCATCATTGCTATCTGAGCTCTCAACCTCTGAAGTTCATCCTCTAAAGCAGAAATTTTTTGCATGGCTTCATTATCTGGGGCGTTGTTCTTTACATCATTTGCTGGTTCGTCATGGACTGTTTTTGGTTCCGCATCTTTTAATGGGCTTTCGGGTTCTTTGAGAATTACTTCCTTCTCATTATCAGGAAGGTCAAGTTCTGGTGATGAACAGTCACTATCCGTTATCCAGGCAACATCAGCCAAGGATGCCATCATCTTTCGGGTTAATGGATTTCCTTCAATCTCCGAACAAAGTACGTGCTTATTTCTGTTTAGACTTAGCTGAAAGACGAAATAATAAATAGCTTTGTAAACGATGCTGATCAACTGCTTGACATATGCTCTCAACTATCAAACCGATGAAGGCTGAAGAACTGATTTCAGATCGATTCGTTTTGGGATACAAAAAATGATCGAACTCACTGTGATAAATTTCATCATTGAACTCACCTCAAAATACGGTCTTTTACATGGTTTCAATGGCAGTCGACTTCCAATCTCTCGAACAATGCTACGTTTCGTGAACAAATTGAGATTATAACGTGACAACTCTCTAACAATTCGTCGAATGATACTTCTTCTCCGGCTTCTCGATCTCCCATCTTGATTGAATAACTCCTGAAATGGAAAAATAAAGGTTACTTGCAATTGATCGATGATAACTTTCAGCTGACACCGTCAAAGTGGTCACGTACTCTGAAAAACAATTCTTAAAAAAACTTACTCCGATTTCTTGTCTGTCCCAGCCAAAGTACTCAAGCACCACTGTTACTACTTCTAAAGCGACTTCCATTTTCTTTTGTAGTATCAAATCAAACAAAAAGGTTGAATACGGTGGAGAAGTAAGCGAATTTGAACCGACCGAAGTCAAAACCACATGATTGCAAAGTGAGATTTAAATTTGTTGCGCATCTGACACTGACCAATCAAAACGCGACGTCTTCACCAGTAAGCCAATCAAATTAAAGAACCGCGTGTTCGAATATCGGCCAGTCAGGACAAAATCAGCTCTTGCCTCAAGAACTGGACGCCTTGAACGGCGAACGTTGATACTTTGAGATATAGCTTAACTTTATCTCGTGGAAAACTTATTTGAACGTCACAATGAGTGCCCTCGGTGTGGTTGAACATCTCAGGAACTTAGCCGCTGATCCTCAAAACAGAGCTACCATAGTTAAAGTACGAAATATTTTTATGTACTTTTACCTTCATCATTTGAAAACAATTCTGTTGGCCACGATTACTCTATGATTTTGATTCATAAAATTTTCTGATTCTTGTACTTAGGATCAAGGATGCCTAGCAGGACTGGTTTTATTTCTAGACAATGAAGATGTCATCGTCGTTATCACAGCACTTGAGGTATGTATGTTTTTAAACCTCAGCACATGTATACTTCGTATACTGTATAAATTGGTGGCAATTTTAGCTAACAACTTCCTTGGTTGTCCATTTCTCCCAGGCTTTGAAGTTTTTATCAGAATTTCAACCCAACCGTTCGAAAATGAGAGAAGAAATAGGCATGGTTATCAGCTTGAAAACCATAATGCACAAAGAAGGCTACCACTCCAAAGCCAAACAGCTTGCAAACGAGGTTTATCAAAATATCATTTCATCTGTGAAGACACCTTCGAGTAGAAGAGCCAGGCATGTCTATGTTATTTTAGTATTCTCCTTTTGATTTATCTCGCTTTTGATAACTGATTACTTTTTGTATTCGACTGATGGACTTTTCTTTAATAACAGTTGGGGATTTTCTCTTTCTTTTTTTCTCTGGCAGTGAGGCATCTCAATCATTTTTCCTTGGAAATTTGAACAAGAGAGCTAAAGTGGTCACACTTCACATCAAAGGCTTGGCAAATCAGGTCTGAATAAGACTGTTTCATTCTTCATTAATAGTCTATAAATAATGGCTGCATGAATTCTTTGCCATTTTGGAAACTGACACAGCACCATGCATTACCACCTTCATTTTTTTTTTTTTTTTTTTTTTTTTTTTTTTTTTTTTCTCTTGTTCAGGTCACCAGAAAGCTTTGTGAAGAAGAATTACTGAAAGTTAAAGGAGTAATAAGCTTCACATTTGTTATGAATAAGTCAAGATGCATAGTCAGATGTAAATTGGAGCTAACACCTGAAACACTGTGTGACACCATCAACAACACGAAAGTTCTGTCAGCTCAACAAGTGATTAAGAATGAAAGAGGCGAAGAGGTGAGTTAAGAGGGAATGGAGGAACCACCTACATGCCGGGTTTTCTCTTATTTTAAGCTTGGCAGCTGGTGAAATATATTTTGTGTAGAGCAATCTTTTTACTGGTCAAATTGTCCAGAATTCCAAGGAATTTTAGGAAGTATTCAGAGGTGCTACATATATGTGGTAAATTTTACCTGCTAGCTGTGAGTGGAAGTCATCAACAGATCGAGTCAAGCAAAGTGTTGTTTGGTTTGGTGTTCAGTGTTACTAGCTAAATTACATATACTGACCAAAGATGTTCTCTTACAAAAATCACTGGGTGCATGCTTCTAGGCTCTGTTCTCAGAAGTCAGGGTGCCTAGCTTGAAAAACTTTGAATTCTTAAAGAAAAAGTTATTGAAGTCCACTACAAACAAAAGTTGGTTGCTTATGGCACAAGAGCTCTGCCAGGACAAAATCTTACCCAGGTACTTCAGTTCAACCATTTTAATTTGTGTTTATCAAGGTGATGTTGTCCTTTGGCAAAGCTCCTGCCAAGAGCTATGGAAGGGGAAACAGCAGTGCCTTACCAGATTATCTGCCTGAAGATGATGAAGATACAGTCATCTCTGACAAGGTAACCAAAGAATACCCTACACACAGACCCTGTTCAAGGACAAAGTGAATAACCTTAAGCCCATCTTTCCTTCAGCTCACACCCAGCATTGTTAGAAAATGGAGTTGAAGCCACCATCTTCCCAACACTCTCTTAGTAGCACTAGCAAGTTCTTGCTTGCCTTTGGAATAGGTGACAGTGGTTTTGATATTTACCTGTGTTGCTAATTAAATACCAAATGCAAAAAAAAACAACAACAACCCACCCCTTACTGCTTCTATATAATATACTTACATTACAAAGAATATTGTAATTTTTGGCAGAAAGGGTCTTATGTCTACCACTATGTTAATTTTTTTTTTTTTCAGGCAATCACCAGGGTTGGAGACGACAAAGAAAATGGGTGGTTTTCCAGCGTTACAAGCTTTTTTAGCAAGACACTGTATTGGTAGAAAGGCCAGAAAAGAAAATAAGCAGAAATATTTTGTAAATATTCGAAGACTGAGTGTAAAACTAAATTTAAGTTCAACATTTTGTAAACCATTTCAAAATTAAGATCCCTCAATCCTACTTGCTCTTTTTCTCCTGAATAAGCTTTTGTTACTTTGGAGTACTTGTTGCAATTTGATAAGCTTAAAATACTCCAATCTTTAAAGCTGTTATTAACTGTGTTTACTTGCAAATTTTAAATTTTGGATGGTATGAACTCTTAAATAAGCTTCAAAACGGATTAAACTCAAGAGAGCTGATAATCTTTTTAACCTTATAACTCCCAAGATCTGGTTGTTAATTCTCCCCTCAAGCCTGTACATATTTCCTTGTAAGTTAGTTACAAGAATATGGCATTAGATCAAGATAAAAACTTCTACCCAATAAGTTTGAGTATTCTCATTACCTGTTTTGCTGGATGATGTATGGATATCATAACGAGAAGTTACATGATTATCACTTGTGGAGTTAAAAGGTGAACTGTACAGTGTGAAATGGTTTGTTATACTTGCTGACTCTCTATCAGTTGACCTTTCCTTTCACCTATGAGTGGCCATACCCTCTCTCCCTCCTAGGAGAAATGGAGGGGAGGGTATGGCTACAAGAAGGCCACTATTCCCTCTGTTTCTTTATGCCAGGAGATATTGAAAGTAGAGGATTCCAGTAACAAACACAACACTAGAAATGTGTATCAGTTGAAACCTGATTTATTTGGAAGCACTTCACGTTTTTAAACTAAACCTTATACTGAGTTGTAAACTGAAGTATTGTTGACCAGTGCAAAACAGTCTGTAAATAGTCTTCAACTTACATTTAATTAAAAATAGATTTGATCCTAACTGCCCCACCTCTCTCAATGCCTGAACTTTCTGCTTGATGGCCTGAATGCAGGCTCTCACCCTACAGCTGGCTTGTCTCCCAACATATTTTCTGTTTAACAACATCAAGGAAAATCCTCTTCAGGCAGCTTATCCGACTGATAGATCTGACCCCCTCACTTCTAATGCCTATGTCATAGAGAAAACTTTAAACACCCTAGTTACATTTAACTTTAAATTTTAAGAATTCCTGCCCCTTCTGAAAAATGCACACTACCTAAATCTACTGATGCCTGGGTAAAGAAAATTACCAAGTTTGAATTGTGACCATCCAATGTACATCTGGCAACTACATTCTCCTAATCTATGTAAGATTCCTCTTCTTTAATCCTTTCATTCTACCCTTTATGCCCTAACATCAGTATGGATATTCTCCAAACTGTTCTCTTCCTTATAAATTTACTAAGGTGCTGACAAGGAAAATTTGACAAACAATCAGGAGCTTCTTAAGTTGATGATCATTTCCTTTATTCTCATGAACTCAATGTGTGATTCAGGGGTGACAATGTAAGGAGAAATTAGATACTAATCTTTAAGTGACTCAAGTGACCATTACACCAACAGTACATTGATACACTGGGCCCACAGTAATTGGCACGAGCTGTTGCAGTGTCCCTGCCTGTCGGCAAATCTAATAAATTACAAATTGATAGCCTGTGGAGTTCTTCCAACTCACCCACAAAGTATGCATACAAATAACAGCCATTCAAACATTTTGAAATCCTATTTACATTTTGGATGTATATGAATCCACTGTCAGACTTATTTTAAATACTTGAAGTTAAAGTTACAAACAAGATCTAAGGCTTCTTGTGTTAAAGTTGAAAAATACTTTGTTGAAAGGAAGGACAAATTGACCGTTCAAATACTGTTTGAAGAAATAACAATATTTTACTGAACAATTATTCTGTTTAAAGAAAGAAAAAACACCAAATGTTCCTCGTTGTGCATTTAATTGACCTATAGTTAACAAACTCTAATTCTCCCATCTTTTAACAAGAGGACTATAATTGCATGAGTTTAGAAGAAACAGCAATTGTGCAACTGATTAACATAGAATGATGCATTTAAATCAAGTGTCAAAAGACTGACAAAATTGCCAGCAAACTGATTCAAATGTGGTTGTGAAATCTTAAAATCAAGGCCTACAGTAAAGTGCAGTTCTGTTACTAAGGGCTATAACCTCTAATAGGTATCCTGGCTGACCTCACCCAATGTGACAGGTGATAATGTTGACTGTGGTCATATTACAGCTGTGTCAAATCTTAGTGACCTGTTGTGAGACAGTATTGCTGCCACAGTGTAGTATTAATACTTAAACTGATTTTTTCTGAACTGTGATGTTCTTTCTCTTGGTTCCCCTTGTGAGAAACACACACTGACCTGTTCTGAGACCAAAAATATTAAATACTATGGAAATTTCTTATTTTTAACCCCTCAGATGTCTACAATCCTATATGAAGCACAAAGAATCAGCTACTTTTACAAGGCACAACTTCAAAAATTTGCTGATATACCTGGTACTGGAGAAAGGAATTTGGCTCAGTCCAGGGCATCAGGTCTTAACAAAATAATATTTATTCAATCATAATTATTGTTTAAGTTCAGTCATCTTTATTCCCCCCTCTCTCTCTGCCTGTTATCTTTGCTTCACCACCCGGACTACTTTGCCAGTCCTCATTGCTCCAGCCGCTAGACTCGCCCCATTCATCATTGTCCCAGCTTATCAAATCTCCCCAACCATCATTCTTTGCTACTACTTCAGTCTTTGGTGCTGATTTTGTTTTCCGCCTTGATGATGATGATGAATCCCCTGTATTCAGAGATGTGCCATTCTTGGATGGGGATGGCTGTTTTATGACTTCAGAATCACTTCCCCATGCCCAAGAATCCCCATTGTCTTCTCTGTCAACTTTCACTGTTGCCTTGCCATTGCTACCTTCCTTATCATCAGCTTCGTCATCATTTACATCTTCATAACTGTCCCAATCCCAGTTTTCATCTTTAAGAGAAGTAGTACTATTCATTGCTGACACGCCATTAACAGAACCATATCCTCCTCCGGAGGTTCCTTCGCTTGTCAGAGATTTTGTTCCATAACCACCAGCACCTTGATTGACAAGTGTTTGAATGTTTGCCCAACCTTTCACACTGGCAGTTTGAAGATTTGTCCATCCCTTGGAGCTGGCATCCCGCATCTAAAAATAAAAAACTGTTTCAATATCACAAGTTTCATTCAGTTGCTAATCAGCAATTTTTCCTGTCACACAGAGAGCAAGAACCAAAAAAAAAAAAAAGAAAAACTAAAAAAACCACATACTAACTGCATACAGTTAACTCTTGTGCTTCAATGGCTTATTTTACCCAAACACATTCTAGCAATATTTTTGGAGTTCACAGTTATCAGATTTTTGAGATAAAACTGCAACAAGTAACCTTTGTCATGGAAGAAAAAGTTGATTTTGTGGTGGCTAAAAGAAATAACTTGAGTGAAGAAATCTGTAAACCACTTACCAAGATTTGAACACAGTATTCATAAAAATGTTATTGGCCCTGGACCACTATTACACCCTTTAACCAAATTGGGGCATTGGGACATGTGAAGTATGCCACAGTGCTGCAATGTAGAGCAAGGCTGAAATATGGTTGACAAAGGTAAAAAGAAAACATACCTTGCTGGACAAACTGGACATAGAAGTTGTTACATCATCCAGTAGCTTGCCTTCCTGGACCTTAAATGTAAAATGGTTCATTCAAAATCACACAAACAGAACCGCCTCCCGGTTAGCTCAATGGATAGAGCGCTGGACTGTTGTGCGGGAGGTCGAGGGTTCGAGCCCCGGCCGGACCAACACTCAAGGTCTTAAAATAACTGAGAAGAATATGCTTCCTTTCTGTAACATCAAG